TGGCAATACGAAATGTAGAGAGCTCGGTCATAAACACAAACAAAATAATCAAATATGGAGTTCAGGACTCAAGTTAATAAAAATTTTCAAACCGTATGCGCCAAAACATGAGCAGTTCCTGCGGTCGGTGATAGGCCGAATGAAAATTTGCGCAACAAATAAGTGGTGTGAGAAATAAATATCGTAAATAATAGTCATTGGCTATCACACTATTATGTCTGTCGACAATGAAGCTGTAAAAATTCCTTTAGCGAACCTCGCTCAGTTGGAGCTTAGTTCGCGCGCTACTCTTAATTTTTTTTGTAAATTTCAACTTTCTGTGAAGCGCCCGGCTTGAACCTGTCAGAGGGGCAAGAAGAGAGAAAGAGAAAGAGAAGGAGGGGAGAGTAAGAAAAAACGATCTCTTATTCGGCGAAAATAGCAAGCCAGTAAAGTTCAGTCCGGCTCTCAGGAACTTCTCCGCGCGAGAAGTGCCGGGAACAATCGCGCCCGAGTTCGCTCCGAGTTTCCATGGGTACGTGAAGAATTTAAAAAGTACCATTGCGCACACACCGAAGCAAAATTAGCTCGTCCGTGTATGGAGAGAATCCATTGAATTTCAGACGGAACACACCGTGACACGGCGAGTGATGCCGAGGAGCGTTTTCGTTTTTAAGTATCGGAAGTAATGGATTTCGTAATCCCTCGGGGCAAACACGCGCAAACACGAAAGGCTTGACCCGTGTCACAGCTCGAGCTCGATTCGTTGTACGCCGTTGTGTGGGTTTGAATTAAAAAAAAATGTACGTAGCGCGCACCTGGCCCTTCAAGAGCTCTCACTGCGCACACACTTAGTGATGGTTAAAATGTTCGAGCATAGAAAAGTATTCTTTCCCATTTTCTGGAACGCGAGCGCTCGACTGGGATCAAACCCTCTAATTTTGACCGTAATGGCTCGTCTTTACTGTTGCTGGAGGGTGGACCCTAGCCGAGGACTTCACTAAAGAAACTGGTAGGGGGTACGAAGGTCTCACGTGGCGAGCCCGAGATAAGTCTCGAATGTCAGTCGTGTTCCTTTTTCGTGATTTTTAAGAACCGTACTGTGTCGTAACGGTACACAACGTAAACGGGGAGAGATTCGTATTTCGTCGGTAGATACTATGCCGTTAGTCTCGCGTTTGACTGTTTAGGAATGAACTGTTTAGGATACCTATGTTTCAAATAGAAAGAAGGATCTTTTAGATCGTATAAATTGCGCTGACGTAATATTCATACGAAATGTTTTGCAATTGCAAAATGATTTGCAATTAGACACTTTAGAGATGTGCGATCGCAAATATTTTGAAATTACAGTTTATTTCGAAATTAGATATGAAAAGATATGTCACGTAACACATACGGGGATTATATAAATTTGTACATGTAATTTGTACACTACATAAATCTATACTTTCCTCTTATAAGGCACGTACGCATCATGCAAAAAACGTTACTCAAAACCGCATTCGCTTCTTGCTTGTAAAGATACGATACTTTGCGAAAGACTTTTGTCAGAACTGGCGGCGTTTAAGAAAAGTCAGCCGTCCGCATAATGGCGATCAGGTAGACGGTTCACCTGTGCCGGTGACGAATCAACGGTGAGGATCAACCCTTCTCCGTCGCGGAGCGCACATTACCGGACAGGTACCTATCTATTTCCATATAGCTGCTCTCTCTTCTATTGAATATAAAGAAGAGGGAGCTCGACACCTGCCGTCAGTAGCCGGCCCATGCAAATACCTGCGTGCGATGAATAAAAAGAGAGGGTTCACCACATAGCGTAGGGGAAAGGGTTCGCCACTTTATTCAGATTAGGGGCCCGCCCGTGATATTTGAATGCGACCCCCTTGGTAACGCCACTTGATCCTCTTGATTTTACACGGCAAGTGTTTTCACCCTTCATCGCCAGACGGAACTCCACCCATGGGGAGATCCTTCCATCCCGGAACGGGAACGCACACACATGCCGCGGGACGTTTTAATAATTCATCTTAACAATTGAAGACAGTGGCGACACGCGACGAGATAGCTGCATCGGGACGACATTGTCGCGGCATTACAGGCGTATCTCGAGCATGACTCTCTTCTTTCTCCTTGAAGTGGCTCTCGCGAGCTTGCTTGGTTACGTCGACGGGGAGAATCGTGAGAACGCGGACGACTTTCAGTGTCTCGCCGGGTGTTATCAATTATGATCACGGAACGTTTCAAACACGTATCTAACCGCGGATCTCCTGCGCAGCCGGGGAAATTTATTTGCACGCACTTATAATAGCCGTCTATTAGAATCAAAGCGCGTACATATTATTCGCGCCTCTCTCGTGACTTCGTGCCGGTAGGGGCGTCATTAAAATCAATACCGGCGCGCTCTCTCCTCTCCATTTCCTTCTCTCTTCTTTCCCTCGCTATCGTCGTCTCTGTTCCCTTATCATTTCCGTCCTCGTCGCGCCACGGACGCGCGAGGGTGGCGGAACCGCGGTAGGGGTTGCCCCTTCCTATGTATCCTGTCTGGCATGCGAGGCGAAGGACGAGGCGTTGGTGGGGGGGACCAGGACGAAGAAACGAGAGAGCAGGCGGGAGAGAAAAAGCACGAGGAAGACGAAAGTTCGGGGTGCGCGGCGAGGGGATGGCTGGCACGATAAGAGGAAGGCTGCGTTTGTGATGTGAGGTACGCGGTACACGCGATAAGGAGTGGGGGATGGCGTTCCCATGGCCAATAAGAACCTCTTTAAAGCGCCCTTTTTGCGCGCAGGACTGCGCATGCCGGATTCAAATCTGGGCGAGCTAGGTATCGAGTGGAAGTAGGGGTGGAAGCAGAGTGACGATGGTGGTGGAGGCGACGGTGGTAGTGGTGGGTGGCGGTGGTGGTGGAGGATGTCGGCTGTATGGAAATATGATAGCGCGATAAGAAAAAGAAGAAAGGTACTGACGCCTATGTGTGTGCAACGCGAAGGGGATAGCCGAAGGTGGGGGAGTGCTACGGTTCGCGCGACCAATAAAAGGGCCAGTTTAAAGCGCCTTATTTTTTGTACCGGCACTGCGCATGCTGAATTCAAATCTTGGGAGTGGTGAGGCTGGATGGATTTGTATGGAAATATGATAGGTGAGAGGTGCCCGAGTCGACATGGCGGCCGATAGGAGGGTTTATGGAGGCCCAACCACCCCCGTCGATATTTTCACGATAAACTTTTATATCGCTCCTGTGTGACGTTGGCGTCGATATTTCGAAGTGAAAAGCCATGCCTGGTCATGTCATGTCAGGTAGCATGTTGGGATTACTCATTGAATTACTACAAAGTTGAAGTATAATATCCCCTAAAAAAATAATTTATAGGACAATGATTACGATAACTAAGACGGAAACTTTGAATTACAGTGTACAGCTCGTGGTGTATCATTTTGGTATGTCTTTCTGCTGGCAGAAATATACCTTAGGCCAGCACAATAATCACATTATTTGGCAGATCGCTCTTACCGGCGATCTGGATCTGTAACCATATCCACCTGCTGCTACCCCAGATGTCATCGAACCGTAATACAAGCCCCCAATCCCCCCAGGTATGTCCTCAAGATCTCTGGAAGAAAAGATCTCGGTGTGTTTATCTCATCTCGGTACTCTCGGTGGTGTCCGGCCTTAATATTTTCTCAAGTATCGAATAATTAGGAGCTAGGACAACAAATTAGGATCACATGTCCCAACGTATAAATAAATTTTACAAATGTCGCACGAATTTGCTGAAATATTTCTCGTATATCCATTTATAGGAAAGAAAGAAATAACAACGATAGACATAAATACTGAGATATTGAGTTTTTCGACGATTTCATCACGTTTGGAATGCGATGTAAAATTTCCCGTGAGACGTAATCACACTCGCCATCCAACAGACTACCCCAATAGTCGATTGTGGCTGCTACGATAGGGGTTTATGTGGGTGGTCCGGCGGCGCGAGAGGCCTTCTTGCGGCTACTCCGTCTAACTAAGTCCATCTTCCTACGTCTGCATCAACCGCGCTGTATCCTCTACTATGCGGTTGCACATCCTGTGTGACCACGTGGTACTCCCAAGGTAGTTAAGGTAATCGTCCAAAGCATGGTGCATTTTCACACGAGACTGCGCCGAGGCACATTTTGATTGGCCTCTGCAGCGAACATTTATTGATTGGCATGTTGCTCGAGCAGTGAAGGCCCCTGATAATCCAACGGGTATGCTCACAATCTCGCTCGGTCCGCATTAAAGAAAACCGCGAAGAAGCATGCGAATCGAACCGGTCCGATGCAACTCGCACCGGATTGGCCGGCCGCGGAATCGAGTCGGCTTTAATTCTTAAGTATCGGTCACGGAACGGGTCCTTAAGTATCAAGGTCTAATCGTCATCATCTCGGCGGGGTAGGGTAGGTAGCGCTGTGATTGGATGCGAGCGTTGCGTATGCAAATCCGCTTGTCTGCTTCCTCGCTCTCTTTCTCTCCTTGGCCTCGCGGCGACGGTAAAGCGACGGTGGCTGCGGCGGCGGCGTCGGCGGCGGCAGCGGCGGCGGCGGTGGCGGCGGTGGCGGCGGTGGCGGCAGCGGCGGCAGCAACAGCAGCGGCCGATGCACGTCAGGTGAAAAAGGTGCACTCTCGCGCTCGCGCTCACGCGAGTTCCACGGCTGGAACTCGCCTTTACTTCGCGGGCGGAGCCGCTCGTGATCCGCGTTTTCCTGCGATTGGAAGGAGTGTTCCCCACCGACGCTTTTGCTGCCCCCACCAGAAACGCCGTCCCCAGGTTGTGCTGACTGCCGTCCACGCTGTTCTCTCCACGCGCTTCTCTCCTTGTCGCGCTCCCTTTTCATCGGAGCCGTGGATATTCTCTCTCCTCGTCTCGCTCGCAGATTCTCCTCTTTCTGCCAGGAGACCTAACGACTCCCCCACCTCAAGTTACTCCGGTTCGCATACGCGGCCGCGTTTGCTGTGGCCGGTAGGCGGCCAGGCGGGTGTACATGAGTCCTCTAGTGTAGCTGCACACATGCACGCGACAGCATCTGACCGCCGTACCACCAGCCGCCGCAGCCGCAGCAACCGTAGCTACCGCCGTCGTAGCTTGTCGCGTGAACTCTCATCCAAGCGTGCCTACGATCACGCTGTACGAGGGAGGATACGTCGACAGGTTGGACCTGACTCACCCGTCGGCAGGTCGTAATAGTCGCTTCCCACCTGCGTTGCTATCGGCTATCTCGACACATTGCGTCGTGACGGTCGCTGCTAATCGCGTCACGTGTTATTCACAATGACGTGACGCCCAGGGAGCGTTTTATGGGCGGCAGCGAGTGGTGAATCGGTGTAGAGTGACCTGGCTCTCGCTAGTCAAATTCGCGGTTATTCATGTTGACGAGTTGTAGTGTTTGTTGATGACTTCGTCAGCCGGTGATTCTGTCTCCGGTACATCAATGACAGTCGCAAATCACGTAGACGCAAAGACTGCCTGTCGTTCCGAGTGTCTGAAGAGAGTGTGTATCGTCGGGAGGGACAACTCGGTTGGGCTTCAACCAAGCGGACTGACAGTTCTCGCCGGTGACAGCTGCACCGGTGTTCACGTGCGTTACAGCCGATGTTTGACAGTCACCAGGCGGGAACGCTATTCTGTACGAAAAACTGCAGTTGTCAGGATGCATTTATGATGAAGGTGGAGATTGTTCATACGCAAGCAACAATAACAACGACAACGACGACAACAACAACAACAATAACAACAACAACAACAACAACAACAACAACATTAGCAGCAGCAACAGCAGCAACGCTCAAATCTCATGCGTCAGACAAATCGTGTATTGGATAATTATTTCTCAAACTGGAATACACACACCACCATCATACCGAAAGGACGCGTGTGCGTTACCGTGAAGATTCTTCATGGGTGTCTTGAGTTCTTAAGTGAAGAACTGTGTTATCGAAGAATCAGAGACACAACTGACTAAATTTATCGCAGCTGCAGAAAAATCCTGTCGATACCGTGGTCCGCTGAATGTCTCAAAGTGCTGTACTCGCAACGAGAACGAATATTTGGAACCGCGGATGTCCTCCCGGTCCGTTGACCGAGCCAATCGAGCCTAGAGGCAACATCTTTAAGCTGTGTTTCGTCATTCGCGCATTCTCACAAACAAGCGACGATGATCGAAGTAGCGCACTAAGTTATCAGTGAACGGCCTCCCACTGCGTAAACTGGCGCGATCCTTCGTCGAAAGTAGAACCCAGCAGGTGACCACGTTGGATCTCGCGGCGTTGGCTGCCTACGGGGGCGTTTCGGGACCCAGGGTCGCGGTGGCGGGCACCGGGGTCCTCGCGCTATCCGGCCTGATACCCGACAAGGGTTTATCATCGTCCGGAGGCCAGTCCAAGACAAAGTCCGCAGGGCTGGCGGGTCTCGACAGTGAGGCGGTGCGCCGGTGGGTCGCGGAGGCCGCGCGTACCGTCCGGCCGATTCCGCCTCCGGTGGTAGTGCCCACGAGCTCACCACAGCAGCATCAGCAGCAGCATCATCATCACCGCCAGCAGCAGCAGCAGCAGCAGCAGCAACAGCAGCAGCAGCAGCATCATCATTCCGCCCACAGACAGCGTCGGGAGGCCAGTCCGCCGTCGGTAGGACTCTCCCCCTTCGTTCTGCCAGCATCGATGACGCAGAGCCCCAGTATGCATCTGCTTGAGAACAACAACTTGGTCGAGGTTGTTATGGCCCAACAGCAACAACAGCAACAGTCCCAACAGTCGTTGCAAAAGCAAAAGCAGACAAGCCCCACGAACAATAATACCATCGAGCCTTGGCGACCGAATCAGGGCGGGCACCAGTGGTGGAGCCCGCCCAGTAGTGTTCATCAGGAAACACAGCAGCAACAAATATCCTCCATCGCACAGGTGTCCCAGCCGCAGAGTTTAGTGGCCGGATCGGTGTGTGGCCAGGTGCAGAGGCATCAGCCGCAAGTGCAATCGGAGATCGATCAGCCACTCGACTTCTCCGTTGGCTCCCTCCAGCAGCAAAGGCTGCATTCGCGCGTGAGGACTATGCATGAAAGACTTCATATTAGAATGCACGACAACAACAACGGCACGGCTAGCGGCCAAAAAATCACCAGACAGGGAGACGTGAGCAGGCGAAGTTACAGCCCCAGTGAGGCTAGCACCAGCAGCAGTGAAGATGAGGGTGTCTCTACCGGCGGCAGTCCTTCGGGGCCTCTTCGGGGCGCCTCAGGTGAGCGAATTGCACATTACGTCTGAGTCTGAGAAATATTCGTCATCGCCATGATTTGCTAATTCGTTTAATTGAGAAGACGTCCATTTATTCGATCGAATCGATATTATTGTTATGATAACTATAGGCAATCATTGAAAAGGTCTTAAGTATCGCCATGATCGCACACACTTTATTCGTGATTCCCGCAAACGTTCCGAAGATTTTGTTTAAATGCAAACGTGTTGAAGCCGAGCAGTGCGTAAGTCGAATCTCAATGACGTAATAATCTAATCCCGTCGTGTAAACATATGAATTAATCCACTGCATTATCACTTATCTGAAGCGCTAACGTCATTCTTAAGAATGACGGACACTGTGTATCAAATTAAGCTCGGATGTAAGCAGATATTTATTTCTCTTTCTATCTAAATTTCTTCATTGACTGAATTGACGGAGAATGTTGCACAAATCTCCCGTGGCGAAGGAAGATCCACTACTTCTTATTGTTATAAATATTGAATACTTATTGAATAATTAAAATTTTTCGCTCCTACGAAATTTTGTACATGCCGAATGATTACGAGCAATAAAAGTCGAGCATTTTGTGCAAACGTTACGATCGTCAGCTGTCAACGCAGTCTACCGTCACATTCTCGACGCCCCCGCGCTGCATTGTTGCTCTCTACGGTTGCATTGTGCATCGTGGCATTGTGTAGGTCGTGAGTCCCCCACTCGCGAGAACTGAAACGGCCGGATTTTACATTTGCGCATCTGCCAAACCGAATGACAAGTTTAGGGTATAAACTAACGCTTACGATGAATTTATTTGAGAGAGACCCAGATTTAGTCGACTGGCCTGAGTTATTTTAACGTTAACGGTATCGTTGCATCTCTCTCTCCTCTCTCTCTCTCTCTCTCTCTCTCTCTCCCTCTCTCTCTCTCTCTCTCTCTCTCTCTCTCTCTCTCTCTCTCTCTCTCTCTCTCTCTTTCCGTCTATTTCAAATAAGGCGCGATAATAACCAGAACTATTTATACGATTATATTATTGCTCGCAGAATATATGAAAGGAAAGCAATAAGCTTGAGTGCTAACGTATACAATATCCAGATTATATTGCCGATTACCACGAAGATAGTATGACGTTCTCACGCTGATGACGGTGACTAATCGTTACATGTTAGCGATCTGCTATCTCGTTAATGCGCATTCGCACGTTCGAGTAAAATTAGTTCAGGCGCTGTCTACGCTACGAGCGAAGTTTAAGAATCCATATCACGCGCGTATCAGCGGGTTTGAGTCACAGCGGCTTTGGCGATAATTAGCATGCGCCGAGATGTCGATCGCGCGACTTCGATCGACACTGTCTGCTGTGCTATACGCCTATGATATATGTTCCGTCTGCGCCGTCTTCGGGCGTTATTAATTACGTGCAACTTTACACACGCGGGTTTATTAATAGCCGTGGTGCACGCGCCGCGCGCTTTCAGCTTCGATTCGGTATTACCGGTTTCTGATAAACACACGATTCCACCGTGCTGCATGTGTGTCGTTTGTATTGCCTGCACTCGCGGATTCGTCAACAACCGTGCGACATATAGATAAGACCTTAGCGAGTCTTCCTCGTCAGTACCGTGTGATAATACGCATAACAAATAATGATCTGTGACCACATTGAATTCCGCAGAAGCGAATCGCTAAGTATCGATCTAAGATCTGCCGAGGCTGCTTCTATGATCGAAATAAAATGTGAGGTAAATTTGAAATAACTTGAAGCAAGATGAAATATCTCATCTCCTGACGTCACTTTTTTATGACATAACACATCTGTTACTATCGTTAGTGTACTTTTCATGGTGTATTTTATCGTTGTCGCTCATATCTCAACGAAATTTATTAGGAAATACATATTCCATAAATATTGTTACACATATGTCCTCAGAGCTGAGAGATTGAAGATATGAGAGAGATTGACTTAAAAATATATATGTACTAGAGAAGACGATAAGAGTAAAATATTCTGAAGTAAAATATTCTGATCTAGGGAAATGGGCATTTAGATCTTTTAATAAAACGTAATGTTATTTTTACACGAGTCCCCATTGTTAAGTACGACATACACGATAAACAAAGAATTAATAACATGGAAGATGTCATTAATGGGCGTCGATCAGCCGCGATAAGCATTAGACTCGCGAGATAGAAAAATCGCTAGTCTTCCGATATTATCTATAAAAAAAGTGCGTATCGCTGTGATCTGTCCGACGTGGTTGATCTATGGCAATTACGTGACGACTATGTATTCCTCGTATTCGAGTGCCTGGTATCGAGGTTATGATAAATCGTCGCCCTTCTGCACTTTATTACATTAGTTACACTAATATGAAAGAAGAAAGAATATCGGTAAATATACGGACGACAGACGAGGAAGAAAAATATTCGGTATCGTATCTTGTGATATCTCAGCTTGACCAATATATAAGTAAAGAAATTCTAATCCCTGTAATTCCGTGACATTATGTAATTCAGTTTAGTTATTGAATCACATAATATAGAAAAACCGTAGTCATAAATCAAACTTGACTCTTGCTCGAAACTTTGATTGTGATCGATTAGCTGTTATCGTCGCCGGTCGGTCGATAGAAAAATCTATCCTTCACGCCTCGAACGTGTGTGATGAATACATACCGTACGCTTGTGATCGTAATTATACAAAACGAGAATGGAGAAGCGAGAATAGTTATTGCAAACCGTTGCAAGCAATCAAACTAACGCTGATAAAGTGACACTGGATCAAGACGTTTCCCGTCAAAGTTCCTAATCTAACGCTGAAAGCAGAGGAGAACCACAGCTGGATATAAAAAAGAAACAAAGAACATTCGCACTCAATCTACCTCAAAGCTGTAAATTCTTTCGATCGCATCCACTCTTTGCTACGACGGTGTTCATAATCAACGATGATGATTCCGCGTCTCGTCCTTGATGAAAGTGCGGACAGGACATAGAGTACGGGCGGCTTCAGGTACCCGTTTCGCCGGGCCCAATGACCCGTTCCCTCCGAGCCCGGGTGTATTACGATGTAACCTGATACGCGTTTGATTCTATGTTATTTACGAGCAGGTGTAGCGGCGCAACAATGTTTATCGCGTAATTAGATTCTGTACGTACGCAATCTTTATCACGCGTCGATGAGTTTCGACGTGGTAAAAATCACGCATGCAGACGAACGGCCGTGTGCACACGTGCGTTTTGCGCCCGTACGTGCGTGTGTATGTTTGTGCACGCGCGCGATGATAATAATTTTCTCGGGTATCTTCCCTCCGCATTGATTTCGATCGTTGCTTTTGCACGCTTTTTTCACGTCTCCTAATCAACGCCTGGCGAGCGCTAGCGCGACCAAAATATAATACTTCCTCGCATGCGCGCACGTCATATTTGCACGCGAATATTTGCACGATATGAAGTAACTACGTGTATTTCCGCGAGAAGAAAATGATATCACTCGACCAGGCTTCTCCGTTGAGACTGAAATCTTCATTAACGAAACACACAAGAAGACGCGCACAGCTTGCGGTGCAATCTTCCGCGATTCTCAACAGTGCCACACTTGGAATCCCGGTTTTCCCGGCGGTATTATTTTATCGGGGATGATTATCGTCATTAATTAACGCCGTACCTCTCGAGGCATGCCTTGATGCGATTAACCAGAGTTTCCGCTTGTTTCTGCGTAATTTAGCTGAAGGCGCACGAACCGCTTTGATGTGGTGCCGCGTAAACCTCCGATAACGATTCGCGGCCACCGGCTTAAATCATCCTTATTGGGATCATCTTTTTCATCATGATCGCTTCCACTAACCATCGCCAGGAGCCTCGTCTCGTTCTCTCCTTTATTAGCGTTTTCTCGGCGAGTGACTCGTCCGAGAGGCGCATCCCAGTGCCGTCGGATCACTCGCGTGCGGAAAATTAGACGGCCTGCCGATTCGTGAGAGTACTCGGCGGGGTATACGCCGATCCCTCTCGCGTTTCTCGCTCCGTGATCAGTGATCTTCGAGCTTCGAACGTGTCGATGTAAATTCCGCGAAGTCCGTTCTCGCCTGGAACGAAACGCGAACCCCGCGAACGCGTAGGGTCTCGCTATTTAGGTGGCCATTTTCTTTCGCGACGCGCTCGGGAGAGCCTCTTATCTTCCGTTTCCTGGGCCTATCTGTACCTCATGGTCATGTCTCGCGCGGATTACACGCAGGAACTTCCGGGCTGGCGCGCGCGAGATTTTCAAACGAATCCGGTCCATCGCCTAAGTTCACTCTCTCTCTCTACCTACGTCGCTGTCACGGTGCCGAGCAGCGGATTGACATATTGTTGTTAAATATCGACTAACTAAACGATACATTTGATTATCGCCTCGGTAGAACGTCGCTCGTAAAAATTACCCTCGAGTTTCAGGATTGCTAATCGTTCGCAGACTGACGAGATGCCAATTCATTATTTCAGCTCACGTTGCTTTGCAGCGCAGTAATGAGAAAGCAAGCGCACGAGCACCCGCTTCATCGTCACTATTTTATGCTCTCGCGCCGTCATTAACTCACGATTAGCCGTGACGCCAGAGTGGATATTGATTAAAAATGTATATCGATATGCTCGCTGCACCAACGATGCGCCGCATCCGGTGTTTCATCGCAATCCGTGCGACGGCCGCTGCTGACGGATAAAATCGCATTTATCGGCTCTCTCTCTCTCTCTTCTTGGCTATATTTAATCGCGGTCGAATAATATATTTATCTTTACGGCCTAGTCTGCGTCTCTTTGCTGTGCGAGTAAAACGGCCTTTATCGATCGGCGATCTCTCGCTCGCGTCACTCGAGAAACGAAGGCTTGGCTCAGAGATAAAAAGCCGACGCGTTAAAGAAGCGGCCGGAAGCGCGTACCTCGCACGGCTAATACGCACAGTGACTATGAATACATAAAGACGCGCGATCCAATGGGATTTGCACAACGGATAACATAGCCGGCGAGGAAGCGGA